TGTTTTGCTACAAACTGCAGGTGGAAAAAATAAATATTAAAAAAAATTGTTGTTGTCAGCATTTGCACTAACCAATTTTGTTAATGTTCAAAATCATTGACACAATTTTGAAGTTGCATTATTTCCTTGGCTGTTTCAGTAAGGTTGCAAATTGTTAACAATAAATCCTGTTAACAATAGGAATACACCTACTGATCAATTAGTAAAATATGAAATTGCCTTTGTTTTGAAAACTGTCTAATCTAACTTAAGATGGGTAATACAGAATATATTTCATTTATTGTTTAACTGTTTTATACTTTGACAGCTGTCATTGTTCATCCTTATTATTTAAAACAAGCTGGTAATTTCAATCTTGCAGCATTATTGAAACCAAACAGCCAGCAGATACTTCATTAAGCCAAACCTTAGCTTGGGAATGGTTCTCCTTAATATGTAAATATATTTTTCCTTTTGAATGAATACTGTGCTCCTTACCAACAGAATTATTGTTCAGTAGTTATTTGCAAGATAAATGCCATGGCAGTGTACTTAGCGTTTCTTGATGAAAGCTGATTGAGCTATGCTTCTGTAGATTTCAGGTAATCTGTAATTCAAATTGTTGATGTTTGTCAATAGAAATACAAATTTTGTATGCAGTTATATTATCAGTGGCAAGTATAAATCCACACACAGAGTAATACTGAGGCAGGCCATTAGTTCATAAAATTAAGTGAGCTGAAAATCTGAACCAAGATGTAATTCATGTATCATGCTTTTAAAATGGCATGGATACAGGAAAGTTCTGAATTTCTCTTGAAGTATGGTTGATTAGAGGGGAGGGGAGAGTGTTCTGTTAGTGGAATTTAAACACATTAAACTAGAGGCATAATGCTTCAGATTGTCATTAGCATTATTTTGAGATATAAAAAAACAGTACTTAATATCCTTGCTGCTAGTCAAGGCTACTTGGAACTTGAACTAGTTACTCCATACATATTCTATACTTTGAGTAGAATGTAAAGTACTGAAAAGTAAAGGATTTTTCAAGAAGTTTCCTCTAAGATTTTTAATAGAGGAATAGAAGTTAGGATAGATAGAATGTGTTTGGTCAATCTGTTTAGCTTTGGAAGTTTGGTAAACTACTGGTTTCTGTCTGGAATTACCAGGTTAGTAGATTTCTGGATTTTCTAATCTGTAGTCTTTTTGAGAGAGAGAGCTTACAAAGCAAACAGAACATTTTATTTAGAAATTCACTAAACTGTGATAGAGCTGAGTTATGGCATGCCCTCCAAAAAGGCTATTTTGTGTGTTCCAATTTATGCAACATTTGGCTTAGTTTCAGTGGGTGCCTCTTGATGAAAAGGTGAATGGAATCAATTTAGAGCTTTCTGGTCATGTTGAATCTCTCTTGAAAAAGTATGTAATCTTTATGCACGTATAAATTTCTTGCTGAAATTTGAGTGAATCCATGAAATGGCAATTTAAACTATGCGCCTGTATACGGAATGTGGCCTAAGAGTCAGCAGACCCAGTATGAGAGCCACGTTTGGTTTTCCCAGTCTTTTTTTGCTTTAAATTAGTTGAAGAGCCTCAGCTTTTTAATGGAACAATAATTCTGGAGGAGAATGTTTTAACTCATCCTTGGTACTGTATTTCTACCCTCTTTCCCCTCTTAGGCTGCTGTTGGCTCTGCTAGGAGGAAAATGGGGACATTATGCATTCACTTAGATGCCTTGAACCTTAAGAGCAAGAATTTCATTTCTTTGCTGCTTTTCATTTCTAGGTTTAAAAAATCATTGTATCAGTGCTTAAGGATAAGGTAGTATTTTTACTATTGAACTTAATATACGCCTCATTTGTGTTTCAGGTGATACCAAAAGACTTTTCTATGCTCCTTTTTCTAGAAATTATTTTCATTCTCTGAGTAATATTTACATTGAACAGTTGTTTTTAATTGAAATTCAGTGTATGTATTATGAATAAAAGCAATCTTGCAGCATGTAACTGCAAGCATCAATTGGCATATTACTGTTTGATAGAGGGAGTCCTGGAATTCACAGAGTGGCAGATGAATAAACCTGAGATAACTGTGTTATGATACTCATCCTCATTGAGCTCCCTACTAAACTTGTCTAGCCAGTTAAATGGAATCTAATATGGATGCACATCTCAGTGGGCACAAAGTGCATTTGCAAAAATCTACTAACATCATTTATTTTGTTGCATCAGATGAGTTTTCCAGAAATCTTATACTTTATGCCACTAATATTAAATATTATATAATATTTAAATATTGGGGGCAATTTTTTTTTTTAAAAAAAACCCTGTATTGGTAATCAAATTGGTGAATGGGCAGTTGTGCTGTGTCAGTTCTTCCCAATCTCTTTCAAACATTCTAAATAGGTTGTTTCAACTGGCTTGGACATTCATCCTCTTGGCATTCCTCTGTCTTATAGTTAAGTTTGAAAATGGTTAAGTTTTAACTGGGCTTTTCTTTGTCATTGAGAAACTTGCATTTCCAGTACTATGTGCCCATTTTTTTAATCAACTGTGTCTTACTCAAGATCTTATTTCTTGGATGGTTACAGTAAAAGCATTTAAATGTGAGCTAAGAAATGGGGAGTTGTTATTAGTTTAAAAAAAAAAGCCAGAGAGAAATTTAGCTGAAAAAACATGGTTTTTTCATGGTTTGAATGATTTAATTAAAGTCTCTTTTTTTCCACTTAAAATACTTATGAAATTATCTATATTGTAGTGAAAATCATTTTCAAGGCAGTGGAAGGATATGTTTCCATATAATTTGGAATTTGTCTCCTCAAATAGTTGCATGCACTCAAGATTTCCCCATGTGTTAATGTAAATCCCATAGTGGACTTAGCCGTTTTAAGAGATACTTTCAATTCACAAGTTTTTTCCCAAATATATCAATTTTATCATCAGCTTTAGGTTTTATATACTTCTTATGGAATATTATGCAGCGTGTTATAAATTCTATTGCATTCAGGGGGGAATTACTCATTTTAGGTTGAAGTAGATTCCCCAGTTTTGAAATAATTTTGTGGGTTTTTTTCTTCAGAAATAAAGACTGAAACCTCTGCAAGCATTAATGCATCTATTTTCTTTCTGTGTTGCCACAACATCCCCTATGTGTTTTTATTTTATATTAAGTATTTTTTAAATCTATTTTACTGTAAGCGGCCCATAGTCACATGTGAGATGGGTGGCTATATAAATCAATTAAATAAACAACCCTTGGAAACTACATTTGAAAAAGGAAAGTAAAAGTGCAAGCCTGAGTGAGGATTTTATCCATTTTAACTGGTTATTATTATAGACATATTAGGGTTGCTAATTGATTAAGCTTGATTTCAATAATGCATATTGTCATAGTACTGTAGGTTGGATTTGATAGAAATTTAGATTCTTCACTATACATCTGAACTTGGACTAGTATGTAGTTTACCTTTAAATTAATGCTTAATCCCCAAACGTAATCTCTTATAAATTTATTATATGTGCAGATCATAATATAGTATACAGATAAATAAAATCAGATTTATTTGGAAGTAAACCCAATATTTTTTTATTTATTTTTGTAACAAAATTTACTTACATTTATTTACATATTTTTGTAACAAAACAATCTTTAGAAAAAAACTTTAAAAAAAATAAAAATGCAAACTAAAATGCAATTTGGAAAGAAAAGGAAAAAAATCTAATATTCTTATCAATAGTCATTGGTTACCAATGAATTGGTACTATAATATAAACAATACAAGATACTATTACAAGATATCACAGAATCTCTGCCATAATTTATTTTATTTATTAAATTTATATGCCACCCATCTCCCCCAGAGATGATAATAACACATATTGCGGTTTCCTTTGATTGGTAGAAAATATTGCCTTTTCCAAAACACATCGTGCATTTCTGACAAATATTCCTTGACATCTGGAATAATACCACTTTTCCAATTTTTTAATATACGGGTAGTCCTCCAGTTATGACAGCAATTGGGACTGGAATTTCCCTTGCTAAGTGTTGTGGTTGTGAAGCTTGATGTCACGTGACCACATCACTTAGGGATGGCAATCCCGGTACTCCCCATTGCCTTTGTTAACTGAATAACACTGGTTGTTAGTCAACGACCCAGCTGCCCCGGGAAGCCCTAGCCTCCCCAGCATGGGCCAGCAGTGCAGTGCAGCATGGTGCAAAGCCCCAGGAAGCCACAGCCAGCCCAGCCCAGTCCCAGCCACCCTTGCCACCCTGCACTCCAAGGCCTCTGCCACCCCAGCTCACCTTTGCCATCTTCTTGCTCCTGCTGCTGAAGAGGCATGCCCACCCTGGCCCTTCATGAGGCAGCTGCTGGTCATGTGAGGCCATTTTTCTCAGGTCTCACGAAGAAACCACCGTGTGCGACCTTGGGAAGAAAGCCTCATGCGGCCAGCAGCTGCCTTGCGAAGGGCCAGGGCGGGCATGCTTGGTCAGCAGAGGAAGCAAGATACTGAAGATCAGCTAAGGCAGCAGGGGCCATGGAGTGCAGGGGGCAAAAGGGCAGAGATGGGGGGAGATAGACAAGGGAGTTGAAGTGCCCCTGCATTGTGTGAGCGGGCTGCCAAGTGCCCGAATTTTGATCATGTGACAGTGGGGACACTGCAGTGGTGGTAACCTCAGGGGCTGGGCATAAGTACCATTTGTTCAACTTCAAATGGTCACTGAACAAATGGTCGTAACTCAAGGACTACATGTAATCCTTTTTGCCATGCCCCATGCTCGATACAACCATAATACCTGATAATTGGATTCCAAAGCTTTGGTATAAAATTCATCATTACATTAACATCCTTAACATCTAACGATTTCCCCATAATTCTTCTAATGCACATTAATGTACAACCCCAAAAAGATACGAAATGATTACATGACCATATAGTGTGGGTCAGTGATCCCTCAAATTTCTTACACTTCCAGCATAAAAAATTGATGTCCATCCTTTCAAATACACTCTTTGGGGAGTCCAATACACCCTAATACATTATGTATCTACCTTAATCTCAAATCAGTATATGCATACAAAGTAACCCTGACCTGAAAAAACACATGTACACAAGCAGACAAATTCTATTGCATTAAAATAACCTGACTCTTCTTTCTCATTTACTACAGTCTTTATTAAAAAATTTAAGCAAGGCTTAAGTTAATTATAGGACTGAGCATGAAACAAAATCTGTTCTGCTTTGAACCCCAAACAAACCACATTCTAGAAGTTCTGCAGTGTTCTCCAGGCAGCTCCCGGCATAGCATTACCCACCAACCTGTCCTGCCTTTTCTCAGCCACTGCCTGTGTGCCTGTTTCTAACAGATATTTCAGCAGTTCCTAGTGCACCAAATCCCCCTGGCTGTGTGCTTCTGATCTTTCCAGGGTCTCTCCTCTCCTCAGCTGCTCCCAATGTCTGCATGGTGAAAAAGAGGAGTGGGTGGGCTGTCTATGGCACTGACATTGTGCTGGACCTCCCTTGCCATATGAGGAGCTGGACTCTCCCTTTTTATCTTCCATTGTTCCCTTCCATCACCAGCACTGTTACAGGCATATGCAGTTACCAAGCAAACCCCTCTTCCCCCGTGTTGACTTTCTCTTACTGTCCTCTGAACACTTCATCTTAGGGCAATCATGTTTCAGTCTTTATTCAGATCAAACCAGCCTCTTTCATTCTGTATATTGCCCAAAAACTCCAAAATGAACATTTCTGTTCAAGTATGAACCATTCAAAACCAGTTGTTCTCTGCCCACAATACTTTGGCATCTATTTCACATCCCTAGTGAACAAAGTTCTCTGGGCAGCTTATAATAAAGATTGAATAAAATACCTGAACTTAACCATAAAGTCAAAACAAAACACCAACTCTTCAAAAAACTAGGCAGGACATGAATCCTCACAGAGAGTGAAGACTAGTCACAATTCCTGAGGGAATGTTACCCATAGTTGAAGACAGAGAAGTAGACTATATTTCATACTCTATAAAATGGCCTCCACAGCTGGAGGCATCTTCAAAATGCCTTGCCCCAGCCAAGTGCATAGCAATATCTGGAGAGCTATAAAAGTTACACCAAGATCTTAAACCAAACCCAGAAACAATTAGCAGCCAGTGTGAATCTTTGAATGCAGGGAAAATACTTTCAATTTTCATGAACTGAATGGTATTGTAAAGAAGTATTTTAATGGTAATTACAAATAATTCATCACATGCAATCAACATTTCTTTCTCATTTCAAATAGAATATAATCTTCTGTTAGATTGGATACCTTGAGAATGCTGATTTTCTAATACAGTAATGTCATAACCACAGTATTTCAAATCATAACAATAGACAACAATTCTATGTGCAATTTGTGACTTGACAAACTCACAGAGGGATTGATTTCTTTATTCAAATAAATGACTTGTTCAGTTTGGCTTCAAGGCAACTTTTGTTTAAGGTGCTATAGTTTTGTGCTATGATCCTCTGTACTCTGCCATTGTGCTTCCATTTGAAGATTTTCTGTAGGGCTTTCCTTTTGGCATTTCATTGATATTATAATGTAAATGCTTCTGCTTAGAAAAATCCCAGCTATCACTGCAAAGTAACTGCCATATATTAAGAACTGCAATAAAACAGAGTAAGGCTTAATCAAACTTTTTTCCCCCTAAAAAAGACCAAATATTATTATCTTTTAATAATGTTTTTCAACCATTTTGCCTATCAGTATTATGTCTAGTATTTTCAAAACATCAAAAAGTAAAGCCCAAGAACATTGGCTATAGTAATACCTCAGCCTTAAGCAACTGTCTTAGAGAACCGTGTGAGATTTCTGAATAGACGTACATTGGTGTGCATAGGTAAAACTGCTATAATCTCTTGAGTGCTATCCCAAAAGTTTCTTCAGTAAATATTTATAAAATGAACATCAAGTGATATGCTCTTACATGAAATGAAAGAGTTCAGATTTGCATTTTAAATGATCAAAACTAATATAGTATGAAAAGAGCACAGGATAATCCAAAGGCTATAGCAATTGCTTGTGCACACATTCGTTTTTGGACAAAGAACTAATTAACTATGAGAACAGTTGCTGTGGTTCCAGAGCTATTTCTATATGCAAAAAAAAATAATGAAAATCCATCTTCCTGTGAGAATTGGCTTTCTTAACAATCAACATGCCTGTTGTAGCAGTGCCTTGTTCAAATGTTGAATTATAAACAATGTCTTCCTTAAAATAGAAATTGTTATCTAAGAAACAGTGACCAAAGTCCAACCCAAGCTGGAAGGATTCCATATTTCTCTATTTCCCCATCCCAGAACTCAACAAACCCTCTTCTTGTGATATTTAAGCAGTTCTTTAAAACATTTACAGATAGTTCTCGCTTAAAGTCCACTCATTCAGTGACCATTCAGAGTTATGATGGCACTGAACAAGGGGGGCTTAGAATAGATCCTCGTAGTTGTGGCCATCGTAGTGTCCGTGCAGTGATGTGATCACAATTCAGGTGCTTGGCAACCGGCTTGCAGTTATGACATCACAGCATCCCACAGTCACATGACTGCCATTTGCGGCCTTCACTCTGGCTTCTGACAAGCAAATTCAATGGGGAAGCTGATAGAAGGTCGCAAACGGCAATCGTGACGTCGCACCTTACCACTGTGTCGGTTAGCAACAGAGTTCCCGGTTCCAATTTCTAAGCCCATTCATTTCATATGGTGGCCTCCGAAAAGATGTGAAACTCTTCAGTATTACTGACTTAGCAAAAGTGGCCATATTACCTGTCCAACTTACCTGAGTCTCAATATCCAGGCCCAGACCTTTTGAATCAACCACAATAACAGTCAGTATAGTTTGAATTAGCAGTGCAACAAAATTGTTAAAGCCAAACATCAAGGCATAGCGTTCCATGCTGAGGCTGATAGCAATCTGGAATCTAAAATACAAACTTCAGTTAGAATGTTGAACATAGTTTTGAGAGATGAAGCTTCAGTATAACTTGCCTGCATGTGAGAAGTTGGAAGAGTATAACTACATGATTTCTGCAAAATATATTAGTAATTTATTGAAACATTGTAAAAGACTATTGAGATGGGGCAAAAGATGTTTGGAAAATATAAGTCAATTTTACAAATACAGTGTAAAATGATACCCACACACCTACATATATAGCACAATGTAATTATGAGTAATTGCTTAACCTAACCTGGCTCATTAAGATGCAATACCAGAAATGTACTGAGATGACCACCTTTTTTTCCAAACCACACTTGTTTTGAAAATAGATATCTTAACTGAAGAAGTCTCGAAAATGCACTTAACTGATTTAACAAAAGAATTGCTAATGAAAGAAACAATGAGATTATGCATTCCATGGTTGGGTTAGCATTGATGCAACTAGGTATTTTTAGGCCCTGGAGTAAATGGTCTCACAGGCAGGTGGACAAGCTTCTTTTGGACTATCATGTATGATACTTGGGATTTAGCATCCCCCTTTATCATAAAATAGAATTATATACTACCCCTTTATCTAAAATAGAATTATAAAGATAAAGGATGATAGAACACATCTGACTCTTTGTGTTGGCTGCCCCTGACTATTTATGAAAAAATAATAAAATCTGGTAAGCAAATTCAGACCCCTTAGGTGCCATTTGAGGATCTTCTTAACAAGATATTGAGGACTGTTGCATACCTAGTGCAGGGTCAAATACAGGGACATAATGAAAGGTAGCTGTATTATTGGCAGTAATGCTAGAGAAACAATTTTCTCCATTTCCTAAGCTTTTTCCTTAGGTTCCTAAACCTACTCTGTGCTCTTACATAAAACCATTGATAATGTCCGATTCCCAGCCCCACCCCCAGCAAGAAGAATTGCAAATGGTAGCAAATTAACATTGATAGGTGAAAGATACTTACGTGGCTATGGTTATAAGGAGCATATAACATGCTTTGAACACTAAATAGCTGGCATAGCAGATCCAAATGTTCCTGGTAAAATGCATCAGAATAAGTGCAGTAGCATCCAGGGCAGAGAAGATTCCCAGTGCCAGTTCTCCAGTTAGATCCCAGTTCAGTTTCACATATCCCACAGCTAGTGATGTTACTGAACCTAAAAGTAGATGGACTTGTCTGTTACATTTTGCAGGACAGTAACACATACTGAAAAGTTTTTAAAACAACTCCATACTGTATTTAAATGTATAAAGATACACAGTCAAAAGCTGCCCTGGTTGCTTTTTTAATAGGCAGACAAGATGTACATTATTTTCACAAGTTATTTTTGAAGAATTCCAAAACAATAGTTTAGACTGTTCTGTAACAAAGCTGAAGGGCTAATATATGTCTGATGGCCCAAATATGCACATATTTAGAGGCTTAAGTTACCTAACTAGCATAACATTATGTAAAACATCTCAGGGGTGGGAGCTGAATACAATGATAATTTCATTAAAATATTCTAATCTTTTACTTCTTTGTCACTTTCTCACAAAACTTAAAATACCAACAATATTTATCAGTCATTTATTACATCAACATCATTTTTGCAGTCAGCAGAAACTATCACCTGATAACTTGTTCCACTAAAGTTTAGTCTAAATCCTGTTGGTTGAAATTTGAGCCTGCTGGTTTAGATCCTACTCCCAGAGTCACTGGGAGTTGGGTGACATCATCATTATCAACATCATCATTCCCAAGAATAACAATACAAATATGTGTATCATCTAAGTGATAACTATTCAGGTATATTATGATGGCTATCTGATCACCTGTTTATAATCACAAACCCAAATTAAATATGCCCAAACTTTGCCAATCGTTCCTCATAAAATATGGAGTCTCCAAACCTCATCCCCTCCTCTGAAACACAGTTTATTGAAATCCTTTTGTGTAGTGATCAGAACTGGGCACGGCAGTCCTTCCTACAATATGTAAACCAAAGCAAAAAGAGAGAATACTATTTCTGCTTGATGCAACTAAGAACTTCAATATCCATTTCAACAGCCACATCACATTGCTAATTCTTGTTTAGTATACGATTTTACCCACAGATTTTAAGAAATTTCTGGTAAGTTTTTTTTTCCATCTTGTTTTCTTGTATTAACTGTAACATCTGCTTTAAAGTTGAATGAATCAATTTTTTGAGGTTGGAGAATGAAAACTCCTGCTAGAAAATAATCATTCACATTCTGATTTGTGCTCAGCTCCATGGTTTTTCCATGAATTTATGTACTTTTTGTTGTGTGTAAAACAGTTTAGGGCTTATTATATGTAAGATTAAATGTAGATGTATAAAGCAAAAGCAAAATGAAGCTAATGCAATGAAAGAAATCAAGATGGAGTTTTTGTAGGTCTCTGCAATTCCAGTGCATCACTGATTAATCACACTCATATTGTAATGTTGTAACACAATTTAGTTACTTCTTAGGAACATGCCCCCACCCTCCCAGAGAAAACCTCCCCAAGCCACCAAAGCTATTGTAATATTTTACAATAAGCTCCACTGAAATAAACAGAACAATTTATGGAAATCGAAATCTTTGTACATATTTGAATGCATATGGATTTTGTATGAATTTAGTGTTTAAATTGCCTGTACTTAACATTTATTGTTGGATAATATATAAATTTTAAACATACTCAGAAATGTAGCTATGGCTTCAACAGCTCCATTGTAAACTTCAGAACTATGAGTAGGTGCTTTATCATCCCACAGTACTTGGATATAATTCAAAACTTGGTTAAATCCTGCAGTAGCTAAAGCCCACCATATTGACCAGTAAAGAAGTTTCTTGGTGGTATAACATTCCTTCAGGTCCACACACAACTGCAAAAGCACTGACAGAAAGTGGCTCTGGTTTTTAATTTTGGATGGCTGATGTTCAGGTAAATTCTGGGTCCTGACTGATGATATTGTCACATCTTTGTCCTGTGGATTGCTTTGTTGGTTGGAAATTTGTGTTGGATTTTTCTCTGTTGGTCCAATGGAAAGTTCTGGGGAAGACTTTCTGTGGAAGAACATGCTTTTTTGTGGCATGGGCAGAAAAAATGAAGATATAAATGCCACCGACACAGAAGCTAAAGTTATGGCATTGAGATAAAAATAAAGAACTTGGCCTAAAGAAACTAAAAGCTGTCCAAGCAGGGATCCCATGGTGGATGCCACCAGGGTGATGCTTCTGCAATAACCAGTCACTTTCTGGTAATGATCAGCACTGACAACGCTATATATGTAAGCATAATAGGCAACCTCTGTGGCTGTTGAAAGTCCATACATAAACTCTGCCAGTTGCATGGCTGATATGCCAGATGCAAATAAAAGCAACAGCCAAGTAACAATTAAGCTAATTCCCTGTAGAATAATTATAGGTTTGTAGCGTGCATAATCTGTAATCAGAAACACAGGGAAGAGCAGGGCCAAATAGGAGTATGTCCAAACTGGGAAAACATGCTGTGTTACCTAGAAGACAAGGAGGAGAAATTTTATAAAGCAGAACTATAAAGCATGTATATTTAATGGAATGGGAAGTTTGTCATATAAAACAGGTCCCTTTGCCAAAAGCCAAATAAACTCTGTTGACCTGGGGCCATTTTCCACAACCAGCAGTATTGCTGTCTCTGTTCCTTGAACATGGGTGAGACATTATCCACAGGCTGCATGTGCTTTCCCAGCATGCATTTATGCATTTTCCTGCCTTCAAACCCCAAATAATTGTTTTTCATTGTGGGGTTAAGGATGAAAATTGCTACCCAGTGTTGTCTGCAGAAGTATTGGAAGCCATTTCTTGATTGGAGTGAGGTGGGTGGGTGGGTGGATGGATGGACGGACAGACAGACAGACAGACGGACAATCTATTGGTTGGGTTACCATGACATATCAAGCCATGATTTATAAACCACAATAGTTGCATTAACAGCACACGGGATAACAAATTTATTTAACAGGATGTATGCAGCTTCAATCACTAAGTGATTCCAGGTAGCTTATAGAATAGGATTAAAACATCAAGTAAAAAATAAGTACAAGTAAAGGGGGACAAAATCAACAGTAAAATACATGGTGTGCATTGGGGAAGGGTAACTAAATAAACATTCCTAATCAGCCACCATAAGGGACTGATTGCTACCTGGATCTGTCAGAAGAGCCATGTTTTTACAGCTTCACGAAAGCCCAATAGAGTTTGAGCCATGAAGACCTCTGGAAGAACATTGTTCCACAGGGCAGGTGCAGTTACCACCAAGGTAAGTATTTTACAGTGGTGCTTAAAAGTCTGTGAAACACCTGGCTCTAATTTCCCCTTCAAATGAACTGATAATCTTAGAGGTTCACGTACTTTTGCCACACTCAAATATGTAGCTTTGGATCATTTTCCTCAATAAATAAATGAACAAGTATGTTTTTAGCTCATTTGTTTAATTGGCTTCTCTTTATTTAGGACTTTTCGGACTTGTGTGGAGAGCAGATCACATTTTAGGTCATATTTATGCAGAAATATTGAAAATTCAAAAGGGTTCACAAACTTTTAAGCACCACTGTAGGTCCCACAAGATGACATTGCCTGGGAGCTAGGGTAAGCCAAATCATCCAGATCTTCAATGATCAGGCAGAAACAACAGAAAAAAAGATGGTCCTAACCAGGCCTTCAGCCATGAAGGGCTCTGTAGATGATAACCAACACTTTAAATTGCACCTGGAAGACTACCAGTAACCAGTGTAACTCGTGGAGAAGTGGTAATTTTACATTGGTGAAATGTAAAGCATCTGTAGCTACTTGTGCTGCTACATTCTGGACCATAAAATTCTGGACCAGTATGGATTTAACATACATGAATTCAACCAGTGTTTGGGGGGGGGGGGACAAAAACCCTCCACCAACTAGTTTATTCCTACCCAATAAATTTCATCACAGATAAAGCATGCTTACTGTACCTCATCGATAGTCAGATTTTTTTCAGGTCCAGCAAGGTAAGGTGTAAGGAAAGGCTCAGATGGTCTCATCATGGTAAAGAAGCCATATATACAAAGGACCACAGTGGGAAAAATCCACCCACTCTTATGTATTCTCTGCCAACAATCCATGGCTCTTTCAGCTAAAACGTTAAAGTATACAAAAACAGAACAGGTTTTGAATTTTTTTAAAAAGCCTATTTCTCTAATGTGTACAACGAGATTTTTTCTTAGAAGAAGAATGGAAATTGTAGTGGAACTATAATAAAACTCATGGAAACAGAGGCATAGTGTCATAGTAGAACTCATTTTACCATTCACTTGACCTGCTTGTTAGATTATTATCAAGGCTCAGAAACAAGAAACCATTTTAATGAGATGTCTCATAGGGTGACATCACAACTAATGGACAATTATACGTTTCTTTGACCAATGTTCTCTTATTTCCCCAATCAAAATTATTGTCCCCAGTACAGGGCAAGATAATTGTTTACAGAATTATGCCAAAAGTTTAGGCAGCTTCTATTTGTTCATTAATTCACACTTGAAAACTTACTTCTGGGCTCACTGTATCCAGAATAAGGATTCATTAAAAAAAAAAAAAAAGCAAATATTATGTACAATAAAACTTAAGTTGTATTCAGGCACAGCAAGTTACTTTCAGTGCCATCCCTGTGGTTAGCTTAGATTGCAAAACCTGCATAGCTTAAGAGTATTTTTGCTGCACGGCCTTGCTTGTGGCATGAACAGGCAACATTCTTGAGTACTCATTTGGAATGTGGAGAGCATGGATAAGGTGCTATCACAAAATAGGTGCCATATAGCCTCCATGACACAAGGGTATTAGTGTAAATAAAGACAATTCTAGAGACTGGCTATTTACTTTACATGCCACCAGCTTCCCATTTAAGGTTCTTTAAATTGAAAGAATCTAAAAGGTTAGGTAGAGAGCTGCCCCCAAATCTTGCTGTGCCCCCGCAAGGTCCTGCTGTGCTAAATCATCATGGTGATGGTGTGTTCCTAGCAGGCATAAGCAAAGAATGCTAGGAGTGAGTGCCAAGAGTATATATTTCCAGCAGGTTCACACCAAGGCATGAAGGTCATCCCAGCTGCCTACTAAAACAAGCAGGCACCCATATTGGGCAGCAGTGATGTAGGAAGATGCTGGAAGCAGAAGATTACTTTAGCAAGAACAGCAAAGGCATCATTTCATACTGCATGGGAGAAGGCAATGGTAAACCACTCCTGTATTTTACCAAAAAAGCCCACATGGATAGAAAATATAAAATGATCAATGACACGATGCCAGATGATTGGTCCCTCAGGTCAGATGGCATTCAACATGCTGCTGAGGAAGAGCTGAGGATCTTTTGGAGTAGTTATGGTGCTTATGACAGGGCTTGATTAAAGCCTTTGGGACATCTGATTGCGATGTTGCCACAGAGGAAAAGAAATCCAAAGCTGCAAAAACAGAATAACAGTGGAAGCATGAACATGGACAGTCTCAACACAGTGAAAGATGAACTGACTATACATTGGCATCTTAGGCATCATTGAATTGAGATGGGCTGGAATTGGACACATTCAATTATTAAGATATCACACTGTTTACTACTAGGACATGAAAAACAAAGGACAACTCTTTAATATGACAGTTATCCAAGCTGATGCTCCAATCACTGATGCAGAAGAAAAGGTTGATGGATTTTATGATCAAGTACCCCCACAGAAACTAGATAAACACTTTCTCCTTAAAAGTAAAATCAAATGCAAATAAGTACAATTGCTCTTTTAACTACAAAGCAAAGCAGACCTCAGTTTTCCAAAATTGTTCCATAGAAGGAAAACAAAGACATGTCTGCCAAAGGATGGTGAAACTAAGGAGTTGGTTTAAGGCAAACATTCCACCACTTTTTACCAATAAAATGGTTATAATGCCCTTCTAATACATGGCATATGAAACATTTAATGAAAATTACCTAATCCAGATGCAGAGATGCACAAGTAATAAAATGTGAGGATAATTTCAATTTCTTTTAATAGTTAAAACAACACCATTTTCAGGTAATGAGCAATTATCTAACAACAAAATAAATAGCCAACAACACTGGAAGGAAGACTGTAAGGAGTTCTATATGATGGCTGTTTCAATAAAAGAAATTTCCCACATTATAGCTATGTATTAAAATCCTATATGTAAAGAAACCTGCAGCATAAACAAAATAAATAAGGTTAGTATGTTATCCTTTCTCCCTGTAACAAAGGAAGAAATATTTCTGAATTCCTCTGATTTTTGTCTTAGGTTTCCATGCCGTTGTGCACACACACACATCGCTTGATTCTAGCTCATTTACTATTGCTGCCAGGATCATTGACATTTGGATATGTCTGTCTCCATATTTTGTAAAATAGGTTGTTTTTAAACCAGCAAATATAGTCTAGCCCCTAACAAACATTTCTGAAGCCCCACTGCCATGAATGGGAATGTATACAGAGAGAAAAATGAAAAGAGATTCTGTCCACGGGTCTAAATCACCTTTGCATTTTCATAGCTTTCCTTCTAGCATCTATCATTTTCTTCTGGTTTCTAGATTCATTTTCTCATGTATGTGCTCTAGTGCTCATTTAAGTGTTGAATTTATTTGGCTCTACATAATATTGTGCAACCATATTCTGTAAATATGTTCAATCATGTTAAACATTGGTAAGTTGTAAAAAATATATTTCAAACCTTAACCAGATCATTCAGTTGTGGATGATGTTGCTAAACTTGGGTAAATTGGAGAACAAATAAGTAGTTATTAGAACTGCCACTCCAAAAATGGTAATATAATTTACGTTCCGGAGGGAGTGGGACAAAGAGGAGAGGAATTTGGGAGAGGGGGGAGAAGGATGAGTCTGAGAGAACTTGGAGTAATATCTAAAATAAATCCTCACTGTCAGAGTGACAGGTTTAGGAATATGTATTTTTTGCCAGGGAAGGAATGTTTTGGCAGCTTTTAGATACTTTGTAAAATATAAGGGTTGTGTGTGTATGTGTGTGTGCGTGTGCACATGTGCATGCACCTTCGAGTCACTTTTGGCAACTGCCTGGACTAGTCCCTGTAGTTTCCTTGGCAAGATTTTTCAGAAGTAGTTTGCCATTGCCTCTTGCCTAGGGCTGAGAGAAAGTGACTGGCCCAAGGTCAGCCAGCTGGCTTCATGCCTAAGGCAGAAGTAGAACTCACTACACCAAACTGGCTCTCTAAAATATAAGTTACTGAAGTTATTTTACTGTAATAGAATGAAGTAGTTCACCAAAATTGTACTCCTTAAAGGAACCTGTTTGCATTTACTTTTAGGTAACATAATAAAAGTTCAATTCTTGGTTTAAACATTTTAAAAGGGGGACTGTGCTCTTCTATACCTTTCCCATATGCTATCTGATCACTTTACCTTATATGTATTGAGAGAAAAAAAATTCCAGATCAGGAAAGTATTTGGTGGAGGCAGCAAAACCAACTGATGCCCTAGAGATGTCCCTAGCTTAACGGAATTACATTCCAATTTTGAAGGACAAGAGAAAGAAAAGACCCACACGCCTTAGGGTGTCTGTATACTGTAGTGGTTAAGGTGTTGGACTGGCACCAGGGAGATCTAGTTAAAGACCAACCTCAGCAAGAGCAGTTCATGGGGGACTTTGAGCCAGACACTCTCTCAGCCCAACTATCCTCATAGGTTTTTGTTGGAGAGAAAAATGGAGCACAAGCACCCCCTTGTGCTGGGTGCATTGGCTTAGCTTCAAATCATAAGCAGGATATAAATATAAGAAATAAAAATTTTAAAATGTAATTACCATGCTATATGATCAAGTTCCTTAGGTTGTTGCAAACCCTTTTCTCTGCTTCCCTCAGATGATAAAGCTCTTACGTTTTCTCTATTCATTACCCATGCTTCTCATCAACAGATTTCTTAGGTTTCCAAGTTTCAATATCCAGTCTGAGGTAAGAATTTCTGTAGATGCCTTCTTGACATTTCAAACTGATGATTATTTGTTTTTTCGAGTCAACAAATTTAAAGCTTGCTTTACGTTGTTGTACTTCCCTTCAGGTTCCTCCTTGCCTCACACTGGTCATTCCAGTCTTTCACGTTCTAAAGCTGTCACCTGCTTGAAAATCTGCCCTGTTTAAGCATCCTCCCCTTAAATAAAATAGAAATGTTGCCAATGTTTTTCTAATTCAAGTTCATAATGTTAAGAATGCTTCCTCTTCTTGGATGACCAGGCAGAAAATGATTAAAATGCACACAAGGGAAGGGGTTTTTATTTTTTTAATCTAACTAGATATGGACTGGCCATCCTTTTAAGGAGACAATGCTGTCAAACAGTACTATCCTCTGTAAAGTAGGGCTCAGATCCACTATTCATGGAGCAACACATACAAAAGGCAATTGTGGATTTGAATAGATCCACAGTACAAAATACACATGCTATTTGTGTTGTCAGTAAGTATCAGTAATTCTGTTCAAAACAGGCAGAATGTACCCAGTGTAACTAAAAACATTCATGAAAAAATCCAGTGATGATCCACAACTCAATATTAAGCCAGTGTAAATTCACCTACCTGTGGATAGAAGTCACATGGTTCATCTGGAGTTCCTTCCTTCTGGATCCAAAATCTAATGTTAATGAAATAACCATTGAGTTTTGGAGTGAGAAATGGGGAATGGGCTGTACATTTAATTACATGTAATTAAATGACCCTGCTTTGCCTCCCTGAGGCTATTTTTTTTTTTAAAAAACTCAAACCTTTCAGTTCCTAAGTGTCTGTCTATCAATAGGCTTTCAAAGTTCTGGGCCAAAGTATTTTTTGCTCCTTTACTTCTTGGGCGGAAAAAAAATCAAGGTGCTAAACCAGAAGTTCTTGCACTATAACTCTCATGACTCTTAATCATTAATCATGCTTTTTGAGACTCATGACTCCAGTAACACCTCCAGAATCAAGCTCCCGTCCCAAATCAAATTTCTTTAACTATGGTCAGTGACCAGCAAGGTAAAAAAGAAAAACTCAAAAACAGTGACCAAATATGGGTAAGTTAGTGTAACAGTCATATATAAAACTTAAGTTAAAATAAATATAGGATAAAATAAAAATACAATAAATAAAAGAGCAAAGAAACTTTAAAATGTCATCACTTCAAAATGAGAACATCTTACACCTGCTTACGGAAAAGTGGTCTGTTTCCTGCTTGCATATAAAAATCCTACCATGACCAATAGAGTTGCTAAATTTCTATCTGTAGCAATTTCCATAAGAAAATAAAAGATTTCCTAATCTTGGAGTGATGGCACTGCTTCATATTATTTTACTGTGTGTTTCTCTTACTCTGGTTTTAAGTCTTTTTTTTTTTTAGGTTTAATAATTGTATGTATTTATTCAATTTATATTGCCACCCATCTCACCTAAGTGACTCTGGGTGGCTTACATAATTAAAAAACAACAATTAAAAATAAAAACAAAATAAAAGCCATTAAAACCAATTAATAACTGGCCCCATGCCATATAGGGCTTTACAAGTCATTATCAACACTTTGAATTGAACCTGGAACCAAACTGGCGATCAGTGCAGCTTGCAGAGCAGAGGTATAACATGCGCTGAATAAGGAGCACCCAGAACTGCCTGTGCTGCTGCTTCCAAATGTTCTTCAAGGGCTGCCCCATGTGGAGCACATTACAATAATCCAATTTGGAGGTGACCAGGGCATGAGTGACTGAGAGTAGAGCCTCCCGATCCAGGAATGGGCACAATTGGGGCACAATCGAAGTTGTGAAAGGCCCTCCTAGCCAACTGTCACCTGCTCTTCAAACAGGAGTCAATTGCACACCAGATCTGTTTGGGGTAGTGCAACCCCATCCAGCACCAAAGACGATAAATTCCCAGAATCTGAAGGCCCGAAAACCCAAATCTACTCAGTCTTGCTAGGGCTGAGCTGAAGCCTGTTGTTCCTTATTCAAACCCCCACAGCCTCCAGACACCAGGACAGGACATCAACAGCATCACTTAGTTTGCCAGGGGCAGAGATATACAACTGGGTACAATCAGCATACTAATGATACTCATCCCACAGCAATGGATGACCTTAC